TCTCTATCTATCTATCTCTCTATCTGTATATAGATACGAAGACTATCATGGTGATCTTATCTGCTGGAGACATTTCCCCGTCGTTTATCAGGAGCACTCTGGTGCCCTCGTGAAGATTCCATGGCCGACGCCTCTCATAACAAGAACCCATCGCTTCCATGAGCCCAGGATGTGTTTAGTTTGGGTCATGTTACATGACAACTATGCTCATGCGTCGTAGCATTTTGCACATGCTCCTTCCTCCTCCTCGAACACAACAGGAGGAGTCCAGCGGCGAGGAGTTCAAGAAGCCCGAGCCCTACCGGCCCGAAGCCGCCCCGAAGTGCCCTTTGGGGCTTCGCAGGATCCTTACTTGGAGGATCATGGGACTTAGTAACTAGGGTTATAAATAAGGTAACTACAATTATCAATTATAACCCCAAATAGGGTACTTATAGCCTTACTTACTAAGTCCCATGATCCTCCAAGTACCCGCCTTACCGCGAACTTTTTTCGGCCCTTTGAGCTAGCAAGCACGGTCGCGAGGCCAGGTGCCTCAAGGGGAGCATTCAGCAACGGTAATGTTGGGGCCTCAATAACTACCTATAGAATCTTGGGGCTTCCTTATTGTAATTATACTTTACCGGACCCCAAAACGCTATTCTCATGAGAACGGGAGCCCAGCCCTAAACCCTAAACCCTAAGCCCTAAACCCAACACCCTAAGCCCTAAACCCTGAGCCCAGAACGAGGTTTAGCTTGGACTACAAGATGAACAAGGCCGAGAAGGCAGGCAGAGAGCGCTTCGCGGGCCTTGCGTTCGTTGCCGTTTTCGGATTTGGGGGCTTCCGAAAAATTAGGGTACCGTATTTTGGGGTCCTTATAATAAGGAACCTATTATTTAGGGTACTATATTAGGGTCCCCTATTTTTGGAAACCCCCATTTACTGCTCTGAATGATGCGTCGCCTCTTGCACCAGATGCCTTCATCGATTCAGCTCTTGGCTGAGTTCTACAGTGATTCCACAGGGTGAGGTCCAGGTTGAGACTGCGAACATATCCGAAGTCTAAGGTCATGCTCCAAGTGCCTCACACAATCTTGCGCACAGAAGAGCCAAGAGCCTCAAAATCATATAAGTCTGGATAACAGGCCCTTAAAACTCAAACAATCTTAGGTTTTGATGACAAACCCCCTAGTCAAACCGTAGCTTCCTGGGCTCCCAGCGGTGCGGAGGAGTCGGATCTCAAGCACATCAAGCAGACGAAGGCTGGGCTTTCAAGGGGATCCATGTCGTGTGAAAATAGACGTAAGCCTGAACAAGAGTAGTACGAGGTCAGAAAAGTAATGATGCAGCTAGAAGCAGGAGAGTCCAGCTCCGTGGAGTTTTGGGGTGTGGGGCAGTCAGTCGCGCAATCGCAGTAGCATCAGTTTGATTACGAAGGCTGAAATAGCACGAAGAGTTTCGGGCAGAATGGTCACAGTAGATGATGGGCCTTGCAGGCGCATGAATACGGTGATAAGATGATAAGACTTAAATAGAAATGCTAGTTGTGCCAACGATGTGTATACTAGTGTCGATGACAAGATGCTGTGCTTGGGCAATCCCGGGAATACTGACAATAGTAGTCACAATGACCAGAGACCGGCACAGATGGTCGTTTCGTCCGGAACGTATACAGTACAGACATCAGCACATGCAAAACTGTATGCAATTGCCAGTACCTGAGTACGTGCATGTATGTATGTACGTATGTATGTATGTACGTATGTATGTATGCATGTACGCATGTACGCATGTACGCATGTCTGTCTGTCTGTCTGTCTGTCTGTCTGCCTGGCTGTCTGTCTGTCTGTCTGTCTGTCTGTCTGTCTGTCTGTCTGTCTGTCTGTAGGTAAGTAGGTAGGTAGCTAGGTAGCTAGGTGGCTAGCTAGCTAGCTAGGTAGGTAGGTATGTGTATGTACGCATGCATCGATGGTCGTATGTACGCATGCATGCATGCATGCATGCATGCACGCATGTATGTATGTATGTATGTATGTATGTATGTATGTATGTATTTACATATATCTCATCTACGCATGTATATGTATGTACATAGGTAGATCATGTGCACACACCTTGGTGCGTTTGCTTTTTCTTGTTACGCAGAGGTAACTGTTCCGTGGTCACACATCGCCGTACATAGCGGCTTACACCATTCCGTGGCAGTGCAGCACCCTGAAAAAACCCAAACTGCAAACCCTGGAGCCGTTCCGCCCCCGTCAGCCCGAGACCCAGATCCTGAACCCTAGAGTAATTTCTTCTGGAAGGTGGAGCATGCTTCACAGCTGGCCACCAAAGGCCTGCCGACCTAGTGGGGTTGTCGACCGGAGATGGAGGCCTCAGCAAGTCCTAGGCCCTACGAGCAGCCCTAAACACCAACCCTCCAGCTTAAAACCCGACCTACAGCCCTGAACCCTAAACCCTAAACCCTAAACCCCAAACCCTAAACCCTAAACCCTAATCCCCGACCTACAGGAACAAAGGGCCTTGAATTCCGGAAGCCCCCTGTGAGGTACCGAGCTGACCACAGCAGAGGAGGAGCTGGCTGCTGCCAAGGACTACTTCGCTCAGCTGGAGCCGGGGACCCCGTGTTTTACTGCCAGGGCCGGCGTGGGAGTCTCAGAAAATGTAGCAGGTTCCATATTAGAGTTGTAGGTATGTAAGTAAGTAAGTAAGTAAGTAAGCAAGTATGTCTACATATAATATACATATATACAGATGTGTATAAACTCATAGATATCAGGCACCCTGAACTTTCAGAAACCCCACATGGGAGACGCTTGGCGTCAGGATTTTGATTACCGACTTTCTCTGGGTCGCCTCACTGCTTTGGAAGCATTGCTCTGATCTTCTGAAGGAGCTGTCCAGCCCAACCCGTCTCATCTTCCTAAAAAAACCCTAAACCCTAAACCCTAACATGCCCTTCTGCGCTGCAGGGATTCCTGCCTCAAGGGCGGAAAGGCCTGGAAGGCACAGCCGGGTTTCAGGATTCAGGGTTCTACTTGGAGGATCATGGGACTTAGTAACTAGGGTTATGAATAAGGTAACTATAACTATAACCCAATTTAGGGTACTTATAACCTTACTTACTAAGTCCCATGATCCTCCAAGTAGGGCAGACTGCTTTAAGCTGTTCGAGCAAGCTTGTCATGACTCCCTTGAAGGTGCTTTGGCAGTTTTGCAGGTCTTCGGGTTCCTGGCAGGGCTTCTCGTCAGTCGCGGCTCTCTCCTCGTCTCTTCTCGGTTAGCAATGACTGAAGCCATAGCACAGCCATATAGAACCCCAAGACTCTGAAGACATATCCGACAACATCCACCGAACTCCTCCAGCAGAAGCCTAACACCCTAAACCTTAAGACCTTTACAGAACCCCTGAACCCCTCTTGCAGGAGAAGGAGGCTCAGAGGAAGGAGGAGCTTGAGTCGCTGAAAGAGGCGCCTCTCTCCTGGCGTTTGGGCTTCGTCGCCCCCAAAACACATGGGAGTTTCCGAACATAGTGGGTACCTTATTTTGGGATCCTTATAAAAAGGGTCCTACTATTTAGGGTACCATGTTAGGGTCCCCTATTTTAGGAAACCCCCACATCGTTTCGTAGGTGTCTTTCGGGGAATGAGTCGGTCTTCGGTTGGGGGCTCCCGAGGTTTTAGGACAATGTCTGGGTATCGGATTCCAGGATTTTTTTTACTGGGGTTTAGAGTCCCTGGTTTAGGGGTTCGAGGTTCGGCGCGTCTCATGATAAGGGGGTGTCGAGATTTGGGGTATTGGCGGCAGGCAGGAGGTTTTTTCAGTCTAGGGCTCTGCGTTGGATGTTCACTCTCCCGTGACGGTTTCGAGCTTGCGGGCTCCGTCTATAGACTCTGGGGCCCGTCGGTTCTGGTCTGGTCAGATCAGTAGTCGATGCTTGAGGTATCTTAGCGGACCCCTAAACCCTAAAAACCCCAAAGCTCTCCTCTGACTTCAGGCTTCCGAGATGCTTGCGAACATCACGGCCTGAGCACTGAGCGCTCTCTTTGTCGGGGGATCTCGGGGGTTTCGCTGGGCTCGGCTTGCGCGAAGACTGTGCGAGCTGCAGTGGGGCCCAATTTCTGCTACGAGGCGGAGCGGCAAAAAGGAGGGTCCCCCCTGTAGGTGCAGATCAAAAAGAAGGCAGCAGTGCCGCCTGGAAAATGGTATTTGCATGACCTTTCTCCCGGTCTCAGCTCTGCTCACGAGTGTACTTCGCTAGCCGGCTGCTTTGCTGCAGTAGATTTGCAAAATGTGCCCAGCATGCCATCAGATGCCAAATCCGCCCATACCCAAAACCCAAAACCCTAAACCCTCAAAAGCCTTCAGATCCCAGAGCCCAAAACCCCAAAGCCCCAAAGAGCCCCAGCTCCTTCGTCCGGGGAGGGTAGGTGCACAGATGCAGTCATATGGGGGCCTTACATGCTTACCTATACTCTTCTGGGGGTTCCTTCTTGTAATGATAGTATAGTATACCCCCCAAGCCTTATTCTAATTATTAAGGCCCCTATATTACATTGGCCCTATATTGCTGATCCCAAGAGAGGCAATGGTCAAAGTTATAGTGCTTAATGATGAGAGCTGGTAAGATGGAGGACAGAAGTAATAATGGCAATGGTGACACTACTTGTAGTGATGTTATAGTGAGAGACCACAGCAGTATTTTCAGATGCAGATGAAGTCGCAGATAGCCAACCGTTCCATATTTCGCCACTTCTAATGTTTCTGGCGCTGACGGACCCGGCGCGGCGCCCGGCTCTGCCCGACGTTCTTCAGTTCAGGCCCGCTGAGGTGCATCTGTTGAGCAAAAGAAGAACGGAGCCCCCACCCGACCATGCTCGCAAAGCTCCGCGACACGGTCCCCTCGTACATGCTCGTACCTTCTACCCGAGCCCCCACCAATACTTGATCTGCGGATGCTCGTCAGGGGGGAGATTTCCGGATATGCTTGCGGTCGAGATCCGACGTCCGTCGGCGGCAGGCACATCCAAGTTGAGGTCGCGCAGGGCGGCATGCGTTGCTACTCGCTGCCTGCTTCTTTGCAGATTCGGGTGGCCGCTTGTTAAAGCGGGCTAGCTCTACGGCCCAGCACGCCAACTCGTGCGCATGCGGAGCGATGGTCCCTGTAGACATCCAAGCCACCACCGCAAGGGCAGCGCCGCGGCGCCACCGGGAGGGGTGTAGCAGGAGTCCGCGAAAAAGCATGACGCGGTACCGGTGCTTGTCGGGAGGGCCGTGAAGGCATGGCTCGCCGCATCTCTTGCCTGTGACAGCAGCAGCTCTTCCGAAGCCCGCATCGCCCGGAAGCCAGCCGAGCGCAGGTAGCGCGCCACCTGGTCTGCAGTTGTGTGCTAGGGGGCGTGCCGGGTGTATCTGTGTCTAGGAGCAGCCGGCGAACATGGGAGCCCCAGCACACGGCACGGCGCTGTTGTTCCGCGGAACCAAGTCCCAGCCCGCCCATGCTGAAGGGGAGTTGGGCTCGGCGGGCGCTGAGGTCGGGGACCTCCGGCCAGCAACCTGGCGAGGCAGCGTGGGACCGCGGTATCGTGTTGGGCGGTGAGGTCTGCAAGGTGGCACGGTCCCCACCAAGCAATCGTGGCGCGCACAGTGCAGCAGCAACAACCATGCTGACTGCAGGTGGGGCACTTGCGGCAGCTGCTATAGCAAGCGATCCTGCTCGTGTAGTCGCTGCGAGAGCTCAGCGGCGATGATTTCCCAGTTTCCGATGGGGCTTCCCAAAACCACCATGCCTTGCTGGCCCGTTGCGAGTGTACTACTTCCAGTCCAACAGAGGTTGTCAGGACTTGCAGCCCCAGGGAACGCAATCAAACGCACTTTGGAGGTTTGCGTGATGTGGTTTAACTGGCTTGCGATGCGTTCAGGCGGCCCTGTGACGTACTGTAGATAGATGGCCCAAGGCGAACACGCACGGCATCAAGGGATCCCTTTGCTCGCCGCCTGTGTGCTCGGTCCTGCACTTCACAGAAGACGTAGGCACTGGGGGACCATACAAGAGCGCCGCGTACGGGAGAAGGCCTGCCGGCTCAGGTCGCTCGCGGCCCGCATCCTCACTGCACGGCCCACCTCGCCTGAACTATTCTGAACTCACCTTGGCATCCCCGCTGTTCCGAGCTGTCATGCTGCGTCGGCTCCGCCTGTCATTTTCTGTCACTGCAGCGAGATGTCGTTGTCGCCAACCATATGATGCCTTCGGAGATCACCTGGCCGCTTGCCCACGGTCTGGTGTGTTGCGCTCGCGTGGGGCCCCCTTCGAGCGAGCGGCTGCCAAGGTTTGCTGGGAGGCGGGCTCTCCTTGTGCGTGATCTCAATTGTGGTCCCTGTCTGCCTGGACGAGAGACGCGAGTCATCGCGAACGGCTGGCCTGCGTGGGGCGGTGTAGAGTTTGCCGTTGACACCACACTGGTGTCGCCCCTCACCGCTGCTGGCATGCCACGTTGGGACAGTGGCCGCGCGCGCCGCTAGGCCCGCTCGACGTGTCGCGGAACGTGCCAAAGCAAGGACATACCCAGAGTTTGTGTGCGGGCGCCGCTGTCGGCTTCTGGTGCTTGGCCTAGAGGTTGGTGGGCGCTGAAGTCCCCAGGCCGCTGAGTCAACTCCTTGCCCGAAGCAGGGCCTGTGCCGCTCCTCCTTTACAGCGGGCGGCGTGCACTGCCGCATTTGTGTTGCGCTGGTTTGCGCTCCTGGCTTTTGCGAGCAGCCCCCTCTTGCCAGCCGCGTGCCGTAGTTTGCTACCTGGACTCGTGGGCATAAGCACTTGGACCCAGGGCCCGGGTGCTGCTGCTAGCTGGCCGCAGCGCACACGACTCCGTGAAAAGGTCAGCGACATGCAACTCACACATTCGCTCACCACTGGGTCGGGCTGCACCTGAAAGCCAGATTAAATCTGTTTTTTTGTTGTTCTTCTTGTTTTTGTTGTGGAGCAACATTCATGCCGGACCACCGCACCTCTAGCTTCTTAGTTTTTTTGTTTGTGCCGTTTCTGGATACGTGAGGGCAGGGATTGGTGATCGTTTTCGTTACTCGGGCCCACGCTACAAACCTCAGAACCTAGGCCCGGAAACACACATCCAAGCGTTAAAACGGATGCCGGCTCTGAGCAGCAGCATGTTTGCCAATCGCATGACATCTTCCTTTGCGTAGCTTTGCTTTTCCCGTTCCATGGCTTTCTGGCGGCTGTGGGGTCACTGCATATAGGCACTGCTCGGGACGCGTAAAATCTCGGGCGCACGTCGCTGCAGCCCCCGCTATTTTTATTTTTTCACGCACCTTGTTCCTGCCCACTTCGTGCATTTGCGTGCCTGGTCGGCGGGTCCGACGCCTCTAGGCCTAGCACACCTACGGCTACGGCAATGGGCGCAATGGCAGGCGGCTCGGCCCCGGGCCTGTCGCGCGGGCTGCATGCGGCGGTAGCGGCCACGTCCTGCCGAGGGCTGTGCTCGTGACCGCTTGCTGTACGGCGACGGAAAGTATGCTCCATCATCTTGGTGTCCATCATCTTCGTGTCCACCCTGAAGCTGCAGCAGCTCGCAGTGCCGGCGGCGCTCTGCACGCGCGCACCCGAACGAGGTCCCGGAGCAGGCCGTGCGCGTCGCCGTTGAAGCGTCCGCCAACCTCACTGCCGAGCACGACGAGTTTCTGCGGCCCTTCGCTCCGGAGCTTCGGGTAGGTCGCGGCCTTGCGTCGCTCTGCTGTCCAAAGGGCGACGCCGTCGAGCTGCCCGGTGCGTGTGAGCGGCGACACCAGTGTGGCATCGCAGCACAGCGCTGTGCCGTTAGTCGTGGCCCCGTAAATGACCACATCGAGGCGGCGCCGATCATCCGCGCACACACCGGGCACCGTGGTGTGCACCAGCCATTGCTGTGGCACTACTTGGCCTTCGTCGAGCGTGTTGGCTCTCCGGGCGAAAAGTCCGGTGCGCGGGTAAGCGAGAGCGTGGTCACCGAACCGGTCGACTTGCCCGCCACAGCCATGTGCATGTCGGTCCGCATCTGCCGTGGCTGATGGGGAACGGCATGCGCAAGCGGCGGCGTAAGCGTGGTGGCCGGCTCTGCTGGTATGGCAGTCAACCACGACCCTGTATGAGGTCCCGCTTGCGAGCGCACCAAGGCCCGGGCGCTTGGCGTCATAGCCGGCAATAGCACGATGTCGCGAAGGTATTGGTCGCGGGTGCGCGACGCGTAAGACTGCCATCCATGCAGTCGCCGGGGCCGGCGTGCTTTGGTGGGACCGGGCGGGCTCCTTGGAGGATTGCTCGCCAGCTTGGGCAGGCCTCCCAGCCTTCTGCCTGCAGCTCGCGGGAGGCGGCGGCGGCGCGCAAGCTGGGGACGTCTCCTCCGCGAGATTCCAGCGCTGCTTGGTAGCGTTCGGCGAACGCGGGGAGTCGGGCCTGGATGACCGGCAAGGCATCCGCCAGACCTGCCCAGTATGCTGCCGGGCTGGCGCGCTCCGCCGATTGCATCCCCAGGCCACCCAAATGGGCTGGCAGCGTCGCGAGCGTTTTCGCATGCGGCGCTTCTGCTTCGGCGTGCTTGAGGTATGCCATATAGCCTGGTCATGGG